TGCATTATTTATATTTACTGTATTATTTATTTAAAAATAATACGTAGCCATAACATTTGGTGGTAGGATCCTTTTATTTGAAAAATGTTTCTGCATAAATATACGAACACATTGATGATTGAAGATGGTACATTTAATTGCTTCATTATGAAAGCTCTTCTTCATAATGAGCTTATTCTCGATGAATTTAACGTAATTACAAGAATACGTAATGCCTGTAACTGTAATACAGGGTGTATCAGTACAGCGGTGACAAACGTTCAGGAGAGATAGAGTACACCTACACGAGTGATGGCGAACCTATGGCGCGCACAGCCTCATCAGCTTGCACGCGACTACAATATTACTTTCTTAATCAATAATCACAATAAAATGATACTATGTAATTTAAATAAGTGTTTTAGTTTAGTAAATAAGTAATTTAAATAAGTGTTCTTGAACGTTTCACTTACTTACCTATCGTAGAATGCCACTGGCATAGGCCCTAAGACTAGACATAAAATTTTCATATATCACCATATAAATGATATACATATTTATTGACCTAATTTATGAAGTTTCCATTGTTTGGACCAATCATATTACTTTTTACATGACAAAGTATACTCCAAAGTTGAAGCAGCTAATGTTTGCTAAACGAATTCAAATTTATTACAAACTGCCGGTAAGTTTTAATACTTTCATTGTTAAATAGATTTTCTATACTATAGGTCTTGAACCCTCACAAATGACTCTAGCAAAAAAAAGCAAAATTAAACATTAATAGTGGATGAACATTTCAAGAGATCTGGACAGAATCATTTGGAGTTATTGAACACAATAGTAGGAAAGCATTATGCATTCTGTGCGGGGGAAAGTGTTGTGTGTCACACATCTAGTGTCAGACGGCACTTTAACACCAACCACAAGATTGTTGCCGAATTTGATAAAGCTGAGCCGAAGGTATTGAAGGGAAATTGAGGAATTATAATTACCAGAAAGTTTGTTTTTGCCATTCTCTTTCTAAAACAAACCATCTAACAACGGCCAGCTTTCAAATTTCACTGTGCCTGGCAAAAGATGGTAAACCGCACTCCGTTGCGGATTTAATCAAAGAGGTTTTGGGCACGCCCCCCCCCCCCACTAAAAAAGGTTTCGGGCACGCGGCTCGAAAAAGGTTCGCCACCACTGACCTAGACGATGGAAAATCACATAATAATACGACACAAAACGCAAAAAGGGAAGGACACAAACAGTGAGACAAAATATTTTTTATTATGTTTGGTACAGCAGAAAGCTCCAAATAATAATAATAATAATAAAGCAACGATCATCATTAAGGAAGATGTTCGAAATTACGACCCCGGACCGTGATGCATGCCTCACTTCTCTGGCGCATGGAAGATCTGCATCACGAATGGAAGTCTGCATGGAAGATGCATGACGCACAGTTCCTGCATCACAGACTGGGTCGCAGTTTTGAACTCCTTCTTTGATGATGATCGTTGTCTCTTTATGTTGGCTTTTCATTGTTTTTATTGTACTCTGAATAATAAATTTGTTTTCTCCCCCTTTTCGTGTCTTTTCTTTTTCGACTTTCGTGTCGTCATTAATCGCGCTAGGAAAGCATTTCCTACCATGCATTCCTATGTGATTTTCCATCGTCCAGGTGTACTCTATCTCTCCTGAACGCTTGTCACCGTTGTACTGATACACACTGTATACTAATCTCAAATACATTGCTATTTTAAACACCAAATCTGAGAAGTTTTGGATTATCTCATAATATAATTTTTACGGAAGTCTGTTCAGAGTTTCAAGTAAAGAATCGCTTCCGGCTAACCAATTTTAGCCAAAACCTAATGTATAACTCCCGTGGATACAAAAGTCTTAAATAATAAACTGAAATGTTTTGGATTATATTTTAATACATTTTTTTATTAAGAACTATTAGGGCTTCAAGTAAATTTCCACTTCCGGTTTACCATTAAAGACTATTATTGCCTTCATGTGTATCACTTTTGGATGTCCAATTTTACCCCTAATCTAATCCATTATTTATATGAATGTAAAATGCTTAATTACGGAAAGTAAAATTCATTGAAAGTTTCATACAAGAGTTATCAAAGATGAAAAAAAATCATTACACACATATAGGCAAACATCATTGTAAATATAGTAACAGCAAGTTGTGGAGATCCTAATTCGTGCTTATTCACTGAAAAAATATTTATCGTATCGAATACCTCACTCATGTATGGATACAGGTTGGCGGTAGGTTAAAAAGAGAGGCGTTGACAGACAAATAGCTAAGTTACTATCAATAGATGATAAACATTATTTGTACAATATACAAATCGAAATAGTTGAAACCAGAAGATAATGTTAGAATATATTAAAACATCTCTGTGGTGACCTTATCACTGCAAGAAATGTAAACATAATTGTTTGAATAGACAATATTAATCGATCAAAATATTCTTCTGCATTATTTTCAGCATACTTAGAACTTAAATTGAAATAAAAAACTAAAACATACAAATGTGAAATTGCTTACGATTTGGCTAATGAAATAAAAGAAAAAGGAAATTCCCGTCTGCGCAATTAGTTTGCAATTCAGATAAAAAAACACACGGAAATATTGGACACTTTTTGAGAAACAGAATGTATCATTGCAATCGTTTCATTAAAATTACAAAGATATACAAGCAGCGACATTTAAGAAATTTTTAAATCTTCTAATCTGCGGAATTTTTATATTTGCGAAATAACTCTATAACTATTCAAGACAAATAAAAATACTCATTTTCGAAATAAGCCCAACTAAAAATTTGCCTTAAATTATTATCAAACGTTGTTTTACTGTTTAAGGGCAGATAAAGGAAACCTAAAAATGTAAATTTCAAATTCCACTTCTAGTATCAGAAAGATTACATACCGTCCCTCTTTCATAATCGTATGGCATTACTCTTGAACCAATTTAAATAATCATAGACTAATTTTACTTTGAAAAAATATTCATATATGTGTTTTAGCCACTACTGTCAGGAAAAAAGAAAGTAATCACAAAGCTTTGCTATAGTTTTCTATTGATTTTGTTAATACGATTTCAACTGATTCAATTGTTTACTTTTGTATTCGGTTACTGCTACTGAAAATTAACTATGCATGAGGAGTTGCTATTAGATGCTTATTAATACAAGCATTGATTTTAAAAGTGGCAGTACTTATTTGTTCATATCTTTTAGAAACTAGTATCTAGTAGCTGCTTTTCTTTGTTTGCTTTCTAACAGAATGATGTTATTCTCCCAACCTACGAATAGCCAAGTACACTTTTATGTCAGTTTTTTCAAATAATCGATATCTAGATTTTATCATAATTGATCTATAATTATTCTGTGACTATTCAAACCATTTATTTGGCTTAAGAATACATTTATTTTAACATGATAATCAAAATTTTGATTTCTGTGATCTAGGACAGGGGTCTCAGACTCAAATAGCATACTGGATGCGGGTTGAAAGCCAAATGTGAAAACAGCTCATGGGTCGATTTTTTTTGCATTTTTTTAGCAAAATCCAAACGCTTATTAACAAAATAAAAATATTTTAAATAAATTTTAAATTTGTATTGCTAAATATTTATCAAAATATGCATAAACAATAATAATAGCATCCGAAGGGGAAAATTTAAAGATATGTTTATTTTCCATCTGAAATATAGAGTTTGGCACCGGCAAGGTATTTGCTCTTCACTATACTTTGTCACTCAAACATATTATCAGCTGAATATTACGCTTTAAACCTGAAATTTATTTAAAAGAATTAACGTATTTAATTAACCATTAAATAACTTAATATAAACTAAAAATATACAAATTACGAAAACTTTCCATGTTTTCAGAGAAATTTCCCAAAAGGGACAAAATTCTAGAATGAATAAAGATAACATAGTTCCTTTTAATTATTATTAAGTTTTTATGCAGAAATAAAAATATGTATGCTGTTTGTATGTAAATAATTATAAACTTATTACTGCTGCAATTAAGCAATGGATGGCGTTTCGATTCTGATAAAGTTTGTAGCCATGGAGCAAGATTACTAGAAATTATCTTCATCACTGATTGTAATCATCATCTGTCAATCGGGTTCTTTTCGTACTGATTTTCATCTGTGATAAAGAGCTGTTCGAATATAAATATATTCCCAAACAAAGCGATTATTTTTAATGGAAAATTTCGCAAATCTTCAAATACTTGAATAAGTTTTATATCACAATGTAAATTAACTAACTCCATTTGTAGATTAGTGCGGTATTATGTAAACTTGGTAATAAAAATAATGTAAATTCAAATAACTAAAATTCTGAATCATTGCAACAAATACATAACTGAAATGTGTACACGTTCCGCATAATATCGCTTTGGGGGCCGCATGCTGCCCGCAGGCCGCCAATTTGAGATTAATAATGTAGAGATTGCTGCCCAATTTAACATTCGGATTTTGTAGATTTTCTTTTCTACTTGTACTAGGAGAAATTTAAGATATGTTATTCAAAACTACATGTAGCCCATAAAAATGTTCTAGATATTATACCTAAATCTCTAACTTTAAAGATTCTTACTTATCATGTCGAAAAAAATATGTAATGTAAAATATTTTGCAAAAACATATTTATTGTAATTCAAAATATTTGTTCGATTTTAATCAAAAACTCTTAAGCAGAAGTTATTTTGCATTTTATATTAAAATTTAGCATGCGAAGATCGGAAGAGTTAAACTTTGTTTTATTTAAATAAAACTACCCATAATCATAAATACTATCATCATTATTTCTATTTCTGAATTCTCTTTCATAAGCTTTAATATAAGCATTTACTTTTCCTCGCCCTTCTTATAGTACTCTGATTCGAGAACTTAATTTCCATAAATGCAATTCAAGATTAGCATGTATAAAGATTTGTTTGCTCTTCTTTTTTTTTTTTTTTTTTTTTTTTTCATTTACGGTTACATGATTTGCATATGAAAGTTTTTACAGTAAAGGTTATCTCAAAACAATCATCAAATTTAACATGGGCGATAAATCACTTTATTTTTAGAGAAATGAGGAACAGGTTTTACATACCGAAAGAGCTAAATGAAAAATAATGACTGGCATATGCCTTCCACCACTTGCTCTGCAACACCCAAGTCTTTCGATTAAATTCCATTCGCTTTTCCATATATCTGCCTGGTGAAGTGGCTAATAACATACTAAATTTACTTTTAAAATTCTTTCTTTGTTAGTCTGCTTAGAATTTATGAGATTCTAAGTTCATATTTTTTAGAACTTCCAGTAACACTGTCACGCACAACAGCGATGTTTTCTTCTGACCGGCTGGATCGAGGACATGGTGATTTTATGTCTGTTGTTGAACGTGGGTCCTCAGATTTCTTTGTCTGTCTGCGAACTGTTGTTTCCTTAGGTGCACTTTCGCGTTCAAAGAATGCACGGAGCTTCCTAAGACTCTGCGTATAATACTCGCCATTTTTGTAGTGCGTATTCTCAATCATATCTTGTTGTTCTTTTGGTTAACGCTCTATGTTTTCTCAGCTGCAACGAAGCTGAGAAATGAATTGACAGAGATAAAATGCCAGCGTAGTCAGGTTAAATCAAACTGCACATTCTAGAACAGGAAAAGTTTCCTGCTTCAAGCACACAAAAGTATTACTCAGTCTCTAAAAAAAGTACATTTTGGAGCGTATTAATTCCGAGGATTTTGTTGGGACACTCTACAAGGATTAACTAGAAGATTTGCTAAACATATATAGATATCAAATACCGTTTCAAAATAACACTGAAGAAGTACATATGTTTAAAAGATTATTTTCACTGGATTTATCGACAGAAATTCAACGGAAAGGAAGTTATGTGCATATCTTTTTTCTGGTTACTCGACCAGGAATTGACCAGAGCCGTAAAGTCCTATTGATTTTGAACATGAAAAGCTTTTCGGAATTTTAAATTAGGAACGCTAATTCAAAACTTTAAAATAAAATTTTCAAATTTTATATATAAATTTAGAATAACAACTTGATTACATTAATATTTAGTTAACATAAAACATAGCAATAATAGTTACTACTATAATAGCAATCATTATTGCTATATTAACTATAGTTAAGGAGCTTATAGAAATTTGTTTATACTTATCTAGAAAGGATGGCGCAGCAGCACCACAGATCCGGGATTCGATTCCCGGGCTGGGCAAGGTCGACTCAGCCTTTCATCCCTCCCTTGATTTCCATGACTTGGGTCGATAAAATGAGTACAAAACACTGGGGCGGGGGTCCTGCGATAAGCTGACCACTTGTTCAGGGCATATGCTTACGCACTCCGGGGCCCATGGTCAAGAAAGCAGATTTTCGGGAACTGCAGACCATGGTCCATTACGGTTGTTACGCCACTGAGTTTCGTTTATCTAGAAAGGATCAAGGAAGGATTTAGTTTGAAACAGCTTTCTTTGAAAAGCGGACGTATAGTTTTAAGTGATCGTAACAGAAAGTCCTGCTTAGTTTTGCCATATTGAAAAGTCAGATTAAAATGTTATTTATAAGTCAGTGCTTGCAATATAGAAATTTAAGCCCTATGCGATGTTACGGTAGAGATTTAAGATGCTTAAGTCATAAGCTTGCAATTGTATAGGAATTATAACACATGTGAATGCTAATTCAGAAGTCAAACATGTGAATGCTTAGAGATGGTTATCGCATCAAAGAGAAATCCATAGTAATGATCACAATATATGAGATGTTTGATATCCAGTTAATATGATTACACATGGACTTTATAGAAAACTTAATTATATCTTAAATAAACGTGTTATATCCCAATACTATGTACATAAGGGTCTAAACTTTTATGCAATATCTTACGAATGCCAATTAAAGCCGACTTTTTAATACAGCAAATTTAAATACAGCTTTCTGTTATGATCACTTCAAAAATATATACACTTTTTTCAAAGAACGAAATAGAAAAGAGAAATTTTTACACATTAAAAGTATGTATAAATAAATTTATGTAAATCCTTCGAAATAGTTTGTTATTTTAGAGCAGATACTTCAAGGCCATTTCTTTCGCCCAAAATCATAACTTAAATCATGGCAATGAATAGCATAAATAAATATTCAGTTTTTTTTCCTGAAGGCTTCCGTGCTGTAGACATCATTTGCTGAAATCCCTTCTGTGCGGTGATGACGGCACACATTACGATAGTAAATAAGGGACGAGCAGCTATAACTTTGAAGAGCCTATTTTAAAGTGACATATTATAATAATAACTACTACTGCTGTATTTTATATTACTAAATACTTATATAATCACTTTACTTTTCTAAATACATACTTAAATTTTTGAATTAGCACTTCTAAATAAGAAATTCTAAAACTTTTTTCATCTAAAACATTTTTTGATCAAACAATTTATGTGAATGTTCAAAAAGAGTTCCTCAGGATGTGGAACATTTGATTTTCTCGTGCCCTACATTTAATGGCCCTAGATTATGCTTACAGAACGATTTGAAAATGTTCGGAGTGACTTGGCCAGTGAACTTATCTCTTTTCGTGAAGTCCAGACTGCTGTTCTCTGCTTTTGTTCGCTTTATTTATTCATGTAATTTTTAATGTTTATTTATACATGTAACCTTTAATGTTCTAGTTGACTTAGTTCTGTAAGCCCCGTGTTGTACATATGTGGTGCACGGGGAGTCTGTATGTTCTCAAAGAAAAAAAAAAAAAAAAAAAAAAAAAACAGAGGATATATGTTTAATGCAAATTCGACTTTAATTTTTCTGCCTAAGGAAGAAAATATGATTTAAATTCATAAAACTGTTTGATAAACTGATGCATTTTAAGAAGAATTGTAATTTATGTAAAATTCTCAAAATACTGAAGAAATAAATTAATGTTATAGATTTTTATTGATTAACAATGCTGTCATCTGAAAACCTCAGCCAGACTCTGATTTAAATGCAAGTGGCTTGGATTTAAAAATTCAAAGAATTTGCATCGAAAATATTTTCAAAATGAGCGACGAATATTAAAAAACATGAATTAATAATTAAAATAAATTAATATTATTTTTCAAATTATTCTTATTTTATGCATTTTTAATAAGTATTCATTCTTCGAAGAAGTGCAACTTTATTCCATTTAAGCTGTGAAAGAAAAAAATTAAACTTTTTTGTTGATTTATAAATTTTGCATGGAGTTTCGCTTTGAAAACACATTATTGTTTGGTTTTGGTTTATTGAGATTACGGCAAAGCACACTAGGGCTATCTGCCTAAGGGGAGGGATGCCTTCGTGGAGGACTTTCTAAGGGAAACTGGTTCGTATACACGTTACACATGGGGAAAACCACGAAAACACCCATGCAGCCAGCCCGTTTGCGGGATTCGAACCTCGGACCGAACTACCAGTGTTCAGCGACTTTACCGCTCGGCCGCTGGTGGGCCTGAAAACACATTAAGTAAAGTATAAAAAGCAATATTAAAAAAATTAAATACTGAATCATATAATTCAGTACCTAAAGTCCAATATATTAAATTTCAAATGCTCTGACTTTTAAACGAAATGCTCAAAGTAATATTTAGGCAGTTTTAACGACTTTGCTAATTTGCTGCAATTGAACAACAAATGAGCCTTTTATAAATTCAGTATCTAAGAAATGAGTGTTACTTGTGAACTTTTATAAACCGAGTGTCACTACAGTAACGTAGCTAGAACAAATAGAAGGCAGCGGTCCATCCCGGGCGACACATTTTTAAGGGCGGCATATTTTGCATGAAACATCATTTTGTAGTATTAATCAGGTACATCGTCGAGGCAAGATTCGTAGTGCTGTATACTCTCCTTGGTTTTCCACTTTTAATTTCTTTTGCAACTTTAAGCTTACCATTTTCAATATACCGTATGTCTTCGCATATCTTTCTTTCTAACGTATTTTTCAACCTAGCGTTTTATCGCCAGTTTCTGAAATTTAAAGAAACATTCTTGTGATTTCCCCCTTCTTCAGTGCGTTTAGAGAACGAGCTCCCCCAACTTTTAAAATGAATTTTTCTACTTAGCGATTGCTAACAAAGACAAACTCTTGCACACTACCTGTGCAGGTTACGCTGAAGCTTTTCCTCCTAATTGTTGAAATATATGCCAGCCTAATACGAAAATCTCTCAAGCATAGCAAACGAACACGAACTGCCATTAAGTATATGATTTCGCTGCATACTCACCTTATCTAATTATTTACGGATTGTTTGAGGCCTAAGCATTAACAGAGACGACTACATGAAGGGCGAAATTCAAGTTACAAGGAAGCAGAAATGAAGATAGATATTGTAATATCAATATTGCTATGTACTTTTTTTTGGAATGTAGATTTCTTTTAAATAAATAATTTTGTCATAGTTACCTGCAGTCAATAGTAGGCCTACAGTTATCGAGGTTCAAGCAGAAATCTCCCTGGCCTCCTCCTAGTATTGGAATGGTTACCTTACAAAATGTAAGCGAAAATATGTAATTAAAATTTATTTAATTAAAATCAAATTGTTAAAATTAATTAGAAAAATAATCTGAAGACTGAAAAACAATGCAAATTTAACAGACAAACATATATTTAAAAAGCGTATCAATGCGCTATTTTTGGATGATTTAAAAATTGTTTTTACGTTCCTGGCAATAAGAGTGAAAACTCTTTTTGCGAGCTTATGAAAATTTTGTTATAACTTCGGCAAAATTAATGCTTTTATCTAGTGCAATTTTAATGGACAGTTCGCCAAATCGTTAGCTCTCGCTTTGGTCCTATTATTGGTCGAAGATAGCTCAACTGCAAATTTCAAAAACTTCTTTGGGGAAAAAAAAGAAAAAAAAAAAAAAAAAAAAAAAAAAAGAAACTGAAACACGTATTTTCGAAATAGACTTTGTAGAGTCATTAGGTATTTTTTGAAAGCAGAACTAAATGAAAAATGAACACTGCCCTCGCCGGCACTCGAACCACGGAGCTCTCGAATTCGCATCGAGCGGGCTGACCACTACACAACGAAGCCATGCTAAGAAGGCGGGAGAAATACTTTATATACTTCCTCTTTAGGGCGACTGGGGTTTTAAGGGACCCAGTCGCTAAACCCTGGTGGTGAAGTATCATCGTTCACCACTTTTTAGTTCGGGCGGGACTGCAGATTCATGTAGAATTGTTTTTTAATCAGGAAATTGAAGAAATTGTCAATGCCCTCGCCGGTACTCGAACAGCGGACCTCTTGAGTTCGCGTCGAGCGTGCTGACCACTACACCACGAAGGCATGCAAAGAAGGCGGGGGAAATACCTTATAACATTAGCGTTAAATTTAAGTTAGCGACTGATTCTTGGAAGTCCCTTTCCACAATAAATTTAACGTTTGCAATGCAGTCTAATTTTAAGCTTCGTTCATTTTATATTCCTAAATATAGGCACATATACTTAAAAACTTAAAATTCTTAGGAGCCCCCTGATCAGAAGCCCGGAGAAATATGCTCCGCCTTCTCTGTCGGTACCCCCTGCCTGTAATTTATCCAAAATTAATTTTATCAGTTATATACTTACGGTAACCACGTCCTTTGGCATTGAAATGATTAGCATAATTTTCTCCTTTAGATTTGCGGAGTAAAGCCTAAGTAAAAACAAATATGGTGGGGACACCGCATGACTATCTTGTTTTCTTGTGTGACATATTCATTAAATGCATTTGTTTGCTGCATTACATTGAAATTTATTTTCGCGGGAATTATTCGAAGTTAATTAACAAATCTCTCAAGACAAGTTGAAAATGATATAAAATATATCATATTAATTATTCCGATCATCATATATTAATTCATATTAATTATTTCTCGAAATACTATCCCGCTCAATTTTTGTCGTATGGGAGACAAACTTCTAATTTTAATTTTTCCTAACAAGATAAAACTTCTGCATAGATTTAGATTTCGTTAGTTGGGGAAAATTCAGTTTATTTTTTAAATTTGGCAATGAATATTTTCTTCATTTAAACTGGAAGTATATGATTATGACCAAAGATTGTGAAAATAAATGCCGAGTTAAAAACTTTTAAACCTAAACTTTTAAACATATATGTATATATGTTTGGTTCTGTCGATTGCAATAAAAAAGAGAGGTGCACAATTAGGTGTTATAACAGTCCCATATGCAAAATTTCAATGTTCTACGGCTTATTGATTTTGATACTGGTAATCGTTTTTATATCAAGATACACATATACATAGAAACGTGTGTATACACAGACGGCACGAAACAATCCCTTTCGAATACATTTTAGATCCATTTTACAATCCGTTTTTGGAAAAAAAAAAAAAAAAAAAAAAGGTCCTTTATTCCGCTCGCACGTACAGAGGTCACGCGTTCAAATGTATTCAGGAAAAATTAAAATGGATATTTCTGTTGAATTAAGGTAGCGGAAATTTTTCGTGATTAGAATACTTTCTGTACTTGATACAAGGAAGTAAAACGTGGAATTATACGCGAGGAATTAGGCTATATATGTATATAATGTTTAACGATTATCTTTCTTTGGTAGGCTTGATGATCACTTAGACCTGTCATATCATACCTACCAGTAGCGTGCAGAGAAGATACGGATGAAGACGGGATCAGCCGTCTTGCTATGACGGATGACAGATGCAGTGGAATTAGCTCATAGTCATCCTGTTGCATAACACACCTGGAATATCGATCATATCACGTACACTTTACGCTCACAGCACGGAAGCCTTAAAAATCGACCTCCTTCCGTCTCACACCACTCTCCCTCATTACCCAGAAGAAACCTCTCTCGGGAGGGTGAGGGAGTCTTTCGTGATGCAAACGGGTATGGGAAAAGGCGGGGTAGAGGAGAATGATACCATGCTCTTTGAAGATACTCAACAGAGATACCGGGCGAGCACACAGAGAGAGAGAGTATTATTATAACACTTTAGCACTTCCTCTGCCATCGTTTTGAAAGAGAACAGCGGGTGGGGGTTCACGCATTTGGCTATTTATCGCTTTTCGCGAGGCATTTGTTGAAGGTAATGGCGTAATGGAGGTGAAGGGGGTCGACTAATAAGGCAAAGTAGGCGTGCGTTTCTCATTCGCTAAATGAAAGCGAGAGGATTGGCGTAAAAGGGGGGTTTTCTCGTTCGCGATGCCGAAGTCTCAATTACGAATCTTTCCTTTTCTTTTTTTCTTACTTTTTTCTTCCATTTGGAAATGGAAAATGCGATTACCTTATTGGCATGAAACGGTACTGGGATTAGTTTTCGAGAAGTGAGCGAGCGGCATTTTGTTATATTGCACTTCGCAAGCCACGACAAGTTTTGCGCGGAAACGACAAAATAATTAAATGCATCTGAAGTGAGCAGATATCATTTAAAAAAACCAGCAAGTAGGATACTTTTTAAGATGCCGGTGTCTGTCCTTCCTTACATTCATCACCCTCTCCTTCCGTCATACCACCTGCATAGGCGCTGCTTGCTTCGCAACATTTATCAAATCCATTTGCCAATATAAATTTTACACATCTTTAAGAAGTATCTTTCTTTCAGCATAACTGGCTTTGTACCTACCACCGGCAGTCAATCTTCATTCTGTTTTTATTCTTTTTTACATGTCTTATCTTTCACCAGACATCGGTTTGTTCATTATTTACCAATATTTAGTCTTTGGGTAATGCATAATCTATATGGTACTTTGTTTGACATTAAGTTAAATACTGTGGATCAGTTCAAATTTACAACGTCTTTGATTGATTTCTTTGTCACAAAAGAATATTGAATAAATTTTAGATGGTGGAAACATTAAACAAATCATCCTTAAGGAATGAATATGTACTATAAACCATATTTATTCGAATTCAAGATGATTCAAAGAAGAAAAGGCTCTTAATAAAATATCTACTTGTCAGCTTCAGACATATTAATACTTTTCTGACGTGGCTTTATGTTTTGCAATACCGTTACAATCGTTTACTGGCTTAATATTATTTTTAACTCGTTCCTGCCAAATGTTTAGGCAATGAAAATTATGCTTCATAAAACGTTTGAAATCTGAGCTTGAAAAAATGTATTCATAAACTTATAACCTTTTTCATGGAAACAATATTTAGTTGTTTGCACTTGTTCATTCTAACTCTTGTTTAAAAATATTACTTATTTCTTCAAAATGTTTTGAATGCTTTTAAATAATTATTTATGCAAGATTCAGGGCAAATATGCTTTGAGGCATTTTAATAGATTATTAACCGTGCAAAGAATTTTAATAGTGTTTTTAAATTTTATTTTAAGTGTTTTTAAATTTTGTTAAAAAGATGCTCTGGCCCATGAGCGTCTTATGCCCAATAAATGGCTAGACTTGAATTTATTTATTAAACTCTGAATTTCAGCACACTGGAAGTGAGGATACTGAAAGGATATTAAAGAGTGAAACTCATTTCGAGGGCAAAACATTCATTAAATTCTATTGGCAGATATCCTGCTAGACTGTAGCAAAACCTCTCTAATAGCTTCATTGTCATTACCAGCAGCATTAAAAAACTATTTGAAATAAACAATGCCATTGAACTGATAGAAGCTAAATGCGCAAATTGAAGATTTCTCAGTCAAGATATTACGAAGTTTGTTCTTGTGTAGCATTATGAACAAATAGTCTGCTCAAAAGCAGCAACTCCCATTGTGTTCATTTCGTCCACTTCTGAAAATAAAGGCCATCAGCTTTGGAAAGAACATTACCTTGCTGATATAATGACCTCACTCTCAGCAGGGAGTTGGAAATCAATCGGATTTAATCTCTACTTCTGCTACTGGGTTAACAACTGTAGTGAAGACCCTTGATTTATTCCTTGTTAGACAGGAGAAACCGGCTTGAGAAAATCAGTTGTTATGGCTCGTAGTAAGTTTGCTTTCGTGCTCGGTGCTTGGTATTCGCATTTCCTTCTTAGGCGAGAGAATAGACACTGATAAGACACTGAGAGTTAGGGTCTTACGGCTGAATTAAACTGAGACAAAGACTTTCGATTAACATCTATGACTGTTAAACATCTCATCATATTCTGATTTAATTTGATTGTAAGATTTGCCGGGTGTATATAATTTGTAAATAAATCGTTTTATTTTTGCGAATTTCTTTCAATGTTAATAGATAACTGATTACATACTGTGGCCGAGCTACGCATTTTCGTAATTAGTAAACTATTTGGCATTACATATTTAATACGGATTTATCTTCATCATTTACAATAATCTTCATTAATTGCTTGGTTTCCTTTAAAGAAATGGGAGACTTTATTAAAAGGACTAAGTCAAGAGACGAAGATGAAGCCTGAAGGAGGCAAAAATGGACCATAAAGACGCGACAATTAGACCACGTTGATAAGTTAAAGACGGGATATTGTTTTCTTGTGTCAAAAGTATAGTTACTTTCCCTGAGCGTCAATAGAACGGGAAGACAATGCAATCGTCTTACATGCTGTCCTGGATTCTGTAACAATGATTTAACATGTGATCCTGCAAAGAATGAAGGCATCGATCATTGAAAGGCAAGAGGACCAGAAGCTACGCTTGCGCCTCTCATAACTTTTCTTATCCCATCAATGTACATGGTTACGTGAAATTGCAGTAGTTTATTAAGGATACCAGTCCACCCATCGGACCACACGTGGCCCTATGGCTATGACTGGAATAGTGTCGGACTCGATCTATCTAGAATAATACTGACTGGAGTTTGGTTTTTGAATATGTGAAGCTTACGAGGGCTATCTGCCGAAAGGGAGGACCACGAGTCCTCATGGAGGTCTCTCAAAGAGAAACTCACTCTCATTCTTGCTACACATAGGGTAAACCACGCAAATCACTCTTGCAGCCAACCCGATCGCCTGGGTTGGAACCTAAGAAGAACCAGTAGTCTTTTAACGTTCGGCTACTGATAAAGCCGGCAATAAGTGGCGAAGACCTGTCTTTAGTGACGAAATCCCATTTTGAAATCAACGCAGATATATCTGGAGATGTCATTTTTATGCATCCTTTACTGCTGCAAGCCAAACAGATAGACAGCAAGGAACTTTGTTATGAAGTATTATTTCTTGTGATAGCTGGACAGCCTTAGTAGGTATTCTTGAACCCTTAGACAGTTAGAGCCTAGAAGTTTGTAGACAAATTTTACATGTAGTTGTATTGTTCTGCACCACATATATACGTTTTAACAAGAAAAACGTCGTGCTTGCCAAGCACTTCCTTATTCAGTCAGTTTACCAGAACTCTATTCCCCAATCCAAAGCTTTTGGGAACGGCCTTCAATCAGCAAATATGTAAGCTAATTAATCTCATGACTGGAGATAATTTAATCACAAATCCCACAGTACTCTCACACTAGTCAGTGACAGGCCTCTTAGCAGCTTGTATCGGGGCCAAAGGTCAGAAATTCCTTACTTATTTCCTTATTTTGTGTACATCTTTTTCTCGATTAAACTGATCAGATTTTCTGAAATTGTAATAATTATTTTTCGGCATCTGCCATTTAGTAATGTGTAACATGTACCAAATTTTGTATGAACTAAATTAGTTTTTTATTTATCAGTTTTTATATATTTATAGAGTATTGCATTATATGTTATTTTCTCCCTCATCTTAGCATGCCTTCGTGATGTAACGGTTAGCACACTTGTCGCGTATTTGAGAGTTGCAGATCCAAGTCACGGCGAAGGCATTGCTCAATTTTCACGTCTTCAGCATCAAGAAAACCTTATAACTCTACAGTGGCGCCCGTAATAAAAAGGTAGTCGACAATAATTCGGCACCACGAGGATTTGGGGACTGGGAGCCCTAATCCCATGTCGTCCTTTAAAAGAGAGAGTATAAAAGTTATTTTCTCCTCCCTTTTTGCATGCCTTCGTGGTATAATTAGAAGCATACTCGACGCGTATTCGAGAGGTCCCGGGCAAAGCATTGTACATTTTTCACGTCTCCTGCTTTAAAAAAATAAATAAATAAATAAATAAATAAATAAATAAAAAAAACTAATGACTCTACAATATATAACAGTAAAGAATGGGAAGAAAGGCCTGGGGACGTGAGACAACAAGACGTTACGAATTATTTATAAGATGTATCTGAACTTAATGTTTGATCAACATTTGATAATAAATGTTTAGCTCTAAATGAAATCATTAAAAATATTTATTTAAGGGAAGAACTCCTTAGAATTATGATTTTAAGGGAAACATATACAATAAACTTAATATATGGTTTTAGAAATAAAAACGTATATTAGTTATAATAGGGCAAATGCTTATAAAATGATCATCTGGGTATTTGATATCATAAACGCATGAGTTATCCTTGTTATAGTATAAATATTGTTATAAAAATAGACATGTTGCTTTTAAATCACTAAGTTTATTGAGTAATACAGCAATGCTTTTCAGTTTGATAGCTAAATAAACGATCTTATGTAATGTCAAAAGGCAACAGATCTGAGAACTGATGATTTGCTCTGCTGAGCAGGTAATAAATGAAAGATCATGTCTCATGAAATGGCAGCATGCTCTGTGGATTATAAAAGCTCCTAATAATATAATGGGACTTTGAAAAAAAAATATTAGATCAAAAATTGCACGAGTTTGTTAATATTTGCTTTAGCACAGGAAATGCAATAAATCAGATTAATCGCTGAAAGTACATCAATTAATTCTCGGGTACAGAAAATAATGCATGCCACAGCGTGACATTAATAATTTAAGATTTACTAACAGCTTTCTTATTTTAATTTCTGTTCGGTGCTTCTTGTTTACTCTTCATATTCCATAAAATCATAGAGTTATGCACATTTATAGCAAGCACCCTAGTTTAAAACCAGAATGCAATCATATCTGTAAAGTTTACTGAAACGAGTTCCGCATTTTTGCGATCTTGTTCGTTCACAGAGTAGTGACTAAAGTGAATGAAGGGTTTACTGAGCTCCAGAAAGTGTAAGAAGTTAGCTAGTATTAAGAAGTTTCGATACAAGGGTGATGCAAATAAACACAGTATTTGTTATTGCGATCACGTG